TGCCAAATGTTGATTTTTCCGATAAATCCTATGTGATATATCTGACTTCGAATCTAAAATTTTCTGAAGAACACAAAAACCTTGTCTAAAACTTAAAGGTTTATTTAACTGGAACTTCAACACTGATGAAAACTTAACATCAAAACTTAACATCTTGGGTGGAAAACATTCAAAGTGCTTTAAAGTAACAGCTATGCCGGCACGGTGAAGAACACTTTCCCTTTAAAAGACAGAATCCATCTAGCCCTTTCGGCATATATCTCCATTTTAGTTTCGCTGATTCAGACTTCAGCTCCTACGTGTTTTGGACTTAAACGGCTGGACTGGAACTGGAACAGGACTGGAACCTGAAAATGAACTGAAGGAGGTGCTACCAAGGAAAGCACCTCCTTTTATTGGTGGTTGCCATTACTACAGGCGATTATGCAAAATTTTTAACAAGGGAAGTCTTTTACAACTTTTTCAAATACAAAAATTTCAAACACATCCATTAACATTACAAAATCGCAAAAATTTCAAAATTTTATAATGTAATTAAATTTTCATTTGAAATAATATACTATTATTATCGAAATTTTAAATTGACTTATTTGGTGCAAACTGGAAGACCTCACAGATTTCTTCTAGTACACACTTTCAGCTATTTGGGCAGTTACTTGGAAAGGCCTCCGTTCCTTTTATAAGATAACTGGCCTTTGCGAACTGCATTACAACACCCCATTTGTTAAAAAATTAACCACACTCCATTATATTAAAAAATAATCGGAAAAAAAAGCATTAGCCTTCAAAGTTTATCTAAACATATTATAATCCGTACATTTTTTAATCAGTTAACATATTTCTATATTAATGATTTCTATAATACTACTCAAAAACACTATTTCTTTATCATATTTTCTACTAAGTTTTTCATAATTATTTCATTCACTTAAAAATTCTCATCAACAATTCAAAATTTTCAACATAAATTCAACACATCGATACCTTAATATCCTTTCCTATGAACAATTTAAATAGCTTAAAATTTGTTACTTAATTTGCTAAGGAAAAATAGGATAGAATTACACAATTACACAAAAATGTTTTAGTCATTGGCAGAATTCTCTATTTAGGCTGGAAAGACCTTTCTAATTGCTTCAAACAAGTAAATAAATACCTTCTTAATGGAATGCAGACTCTGTCATGTTAAATGCTCCCCTTATTTTTGGTAATGAAGTGTGTTTCTTTTGAAGTGAAAAGAATTTTACCAAGTCACACTTTTTTGTGCAATTGTTTGATTAAATAGAAGTTATGAGACGTGTAAATTTCTTTATATAAAATTTCATGCAATGCTTTGAATTTGAAAATTTTCAGAAATGTGCCAAAAATAGAACTAATAATTTCAGTACTTCAGATGTTGGAGCAGTAATGAACTTGCATCTACCTGCATAGAGATTAAGTGATGCCAAAATGTATTAAATGTGACATTACTTAACAACAATAAAAAACTATTCATCTCAAATCTGTTTAACTTGAAAACCTCTATATTTTGACATTTGTTTATTTTCCTGTAGTTTCGATCTAAATTTAATGTATTTTCCATATTTGAATAAATTTTCAGGAAACCAGACTGAAATGTATTTCAAATTTGGACTATATCTTTGAAGCTGAAGATGTGACCATATTTTTGGTAGCTTAGATTCAATAGATAAGAATATCTTTTTTCTAACACATCATGTATGAAAATGAAATAGGTGCAGGTTGGGTTTTTCTTGTAAATTTCCATTTGAACTTTAACTCCTCTTTGGGTTTTAGTTGGAATTGAGAATTTCATTTGCTACGCGTTCAAGCAGTGTCGATGATTAGCAGTTGGTTGCTGTAAATAGAGGACATGGAAAATTATTTCATGGCCAAATTGTAGATGTGAAACAAAATTTGTTTATTGAATAAAAAGTTAAATTCTTAAATTTTTAGGTGAGAATTTTCTAATGAAAAAGAAATGTTTCAACCAGTATTCTGCAAAATGCTATTTCTATACCCACAAGGTCACATATCCAGTTTCACACTTCTAACTTTGTTATGCTTTCAGTTACCATGTATTTTACTTTTTAAGTTGTCTGGGAGACCGCTCACAGCAGATGTGTACCAGTTTTAGTGGACAATAATATGCTATTTATCAGATGCTTGTTTTTCATAAAAGTGGTATACATGGCTTCAAACATTTCAAGAGAACGTCCCATATACTCAAAAAGAAATTGAAAAAGAAATTGAAAAGAATCTCACTCAAAAAGAAATTGAATATCTTGTCAACAATATTTTTGATGCAGAATACTCGAATTCTAAAGAATCATGTAGCATTCACAGCGAAAGCAAAAGTGAATCTGAGCTGTCTGCACATGAATATCATAATTTTTCTAATGACTGTGAACAAAATGATAATTTTTATGCAAAAAAGCACTTCAAATGGTGCAAAAAAGAACCAAATCAGTCTGTACGAACACCAAAGTATAACACAATAATTCAGCTCTTTGGTTTGAAACATCCTGCAAAAATAGGCTGTAGAGCAGAGCCCAAAGATACATAATTTATGTTTATGCATACATTTATGTTCATACAGATGCATAATTTATATTCATACATATTGTTCCAGTCATATCCTGATGCTACAAAACTGAAAAGAAAAAAAAATTATGCTTTTATTAGCTAATCAACTTATTAAACCACATCTGAAAGTTGGGATAACTTCCGCTTTTTTGCCAAGGGGAATGAAGATAACAATTAGAAGAATCTTTGGACAGAAGGAAATTAAGAGAATGTATTTACCAAATCAAGAAGAAAAACATGTAGTGTGTGCTCACCTTGTAAGAAGAGAAAAACTGTATACAAATGCTTGGAATGCAAGGAACCAGTGTGTCTTCAGTGCTCTCAAAAAAGTGTTGTGACTGTGTATCATCTTACAAGTCATCCTTGTAAACAAAGATATACTAATCTATTATTTATTAATAATTAAATTCATTGTTGTAGAATTATGGTTTAATTGACAGTAACACTTAATAAAGTCACATATTTTCATGCATGTTTAATAAAAATTTTTGTCCTTTAAAAGCTTTGTTCCTTGAAAACGAAGAAAATAGTATTTTTTTTTTGTATGAATTAAACTGTGTAAAATTAAATCATTTATGTTTAAAATATATTGATTGAACCCTCTCAGCGTTATGGCTGGAAAATTCCATACAGAAGGCTGTCTTCTATATTCATTATACATGAAAATTTCTGCTAGCTTTTAAATGTATTTGATTTCTGTTTGGATGTATATTGGAAGGAAAGGAATCAAGGTACAAAATGAGAGGGTCATTTTTTAATTAAAATAAAAAAAGTATCACTTAGTCATGACATTTTGAGGAACTTTGAAATTTCAGGGCTAAACCCGTAATGCTCAGAGGGTTAAATGAATTAGAATTCCATAAATATGCATAAAGTATCTATACAGTAGACGTTCGTTTTTACGAACACTTTCGATTTGACGAACTAGCGAATGGTCCCGAATACACTCCCATAGATGTAATGTAATTTTGCGCTCTTATTTACGAACTACAAATCAGGAAAATCTCTTTTTTGCGAACTCAGTTTTCATACTTCTGCGTGTTTCATTGGGACGAAGTGTGAAGGTCAAATAAAATCTCCAACTATTTTGAGGCAGCAAGTGCGAAACATTCGAAGAAGTACAGTAAGGAAGGAGGGGGCGGAGAAGGGGGAATTAGGACAAAATTATGGTGTTGTTTGCTGTGGAAGGCTCTCAGAAGAGCATCGGCCTGATGTTGGGTGGGGGTGAGACCATTCGTGTTAAAGGGGTTTGGGTTGCTTCTAAAAGAGAGTTGTTGCTTTTTGTAATGTCATAGTCATTTGATCTGGACAACTCAATCGGTGAAGTCTCGTTAGTCAAGGGGGAGATTGGGCCAGTTTTTGTTAAGTAAGATTCGTAGAGCTATGTCGCAAATGAAGAAACGGATTTGTTTAGCGGTTGAAATAAAGATTTTAAAAGAAGTTGACGAAAAGATATTAAGCAAGACACAAATTGCTCAGAAATATGGAATTCCTAAAAATAGTTTATCGACGATTTTAAAGGCAAGAGAGAAGATCTTTGGAGCTAAAAACGGAAACGATGAATGTGGACCTTCCTCTCGAAAATATTTTCGAGAATCAAAACACCCAAATTTGAAAGGGCTTTGCTTGTTTGGTTTCGAAAGATGAGAAGCTTAAACATTCCAATTGATGGAAATGTACTTAAAGAACAAGCACACTTTTTGCTTCCAAATTAAACATCAAAGATTTTAAAGCATCGGATGGTTGGTTACAGAAATTTAAATTTCGGAATGGTTTGAGTTTCCGGAAAGTGTGTGGTGAAAGCGCAGCAGTAGACACGTCATCAGCAAATGAATGGAAAGAAGAAAAGTTGAAATTGCTTCTTTCTGAATACGCTGCAGATGACGTTCTTAATGCGGACGAAACGGCTTTGTTTTTTAAGATTTTGCCAGAATGAACATTAGCTTACAAAGGAGATAAATATGTTGGAGGTAATAAAGCTAAAGAGAGACTTACAGTTTTGATTGCAGCCAACATGACTGGTCACAAAATTGCCTCTGCTCTTTATTGGAAAATATCTGAAACCAAGGTGTTTCAAAAATGTTCAGAAGATTCCTGCTGCATATTATGCTAATAATAAGGCCTGGATGACTGGCAACATCTACGAAAAATGGTTGAGAGATTTAGATAACCGTTTTTCAGCAGAGAAGCGCAAAGTTCTCCTAATCGTGGACAATTGTACTGCACACATGGAAGTCACTGGGCTTCAGGCAATCCGTGTGGAATATCTCCCACCAAATGCAACTGTAGTTTTTAAACAGCCAATGGATCAGGGGATAATCAATAGTTTCAAGCGAAAAATATAGACAGTGCTCTTGCAAAGAGTAATCCTTGGCTTGGAAAGGAAACAACCTTATTAGATTGATATTCTTGGTGCAATGCATTTATCAATCAGTGCATGGAATGATGTTTTAGATGAAACAATTTCTAAAGCCTTTCGACATGCAGGTTTTATTAAAGAAACAGACGTAACTGAAGAAATCCATGACAATAGATCTCACGACAAAGATGAGGTTCTCATGCATGAATTTCGCCGTAGAAATCCACAGTTGCCAGAACTTTCATTCGAGGATTTTTTAAATGTGGATTCTAATGTCATATGCACGGAGGAAATATCGGATCACGATATTATTAGCAGCATAATCAACGAGAATGAGAGACTTTCAGATCCAGAAGAAGAAGAAGAAGTAGAAATGAAATAACACCAAGACCGACTTTAAAACAAGCTGCTGAATACTTGTCAGAACTTAGAACGATTTTTGAGGCCAGTGATAATTGTGAAATGCTAACAAATATAGAGAAGATGGAGTCTTGCATTGTACAATCTGTTGTTTTAAAACAGACAAAGATAAGTGATTATTTTGTTGCTCAATGACTTAATAAAGGTACATTTTACAATATTTTATATTTCTTGTTTGTTTAATAGAATGGATATCATTTATAAGTAGTATACTATTAAAAATAATTCCTAATACATAAATAAAAGTATGGAATAGTATCACTAACCTGTCTCGAAAACATTAAAATGTGAAATACTAGCAATTTGCGATGCCTTTCTAAATTACGAACTCTCGATTTAACGAACTGTTTTCGTAGTCCCTACGAGTTTGTAAAAACGAGTGTCTACTGTAATATTCTTTAAAAAGGCATAAAAGTATGTATTTTTGCGCATTTCTTTAAAGCGGTCTATGAGACCGCTCTCAGTAATTATGCGGAAAAAATTGTCACCGCAGTTAAAGTAAATATTTTTGCCGTTGGCAACGGAATGAAAACTGAAATTTGTATATTTACATTTGAATTTAATGAATTATTAAAAATGATGTTTACACTTTTAAATCAAAATAAGTTGTATGTATAATAGCAAATGTTCCATTTTAGTACATGTTTCATGAGGAGCTAGGATTTTCTTCCTCCGTAAGCAATTGGTTTAATACATGAGTTACAATTCTAAGGACTTCTCATCACATCTTTTTTTTTTTTTTAAAAAAGGGGGGGGAATCTTTCAGCAATGCTGTTTTTCTCCCTGGTAATGTTCAATTTACTGTTTGTTTTCTCATTTAATTATAGTGAAAACAAAACAGTGTAACCCACAAAAATTTCTTTTGTTTTAACATTAGCTTTCAAATGTTTCACTAATAAGTTCTCCTACATTATCATTTCTTAATTTTGATACTTTCATATTCCCTTTAGTTCCTATAATCTTTTATTATATTAAATATTTCGTATTTATATTCTATCAAATATACCATTATAAGATGTGTAGGATCGTAAAGGATTGAGTAGTATGTAACTTCATTTACCAGTTTCGTGACTTTATCAGTGTATGTGTGTTTGTTCATAAGAATGATCTGCTCACCCTTATCAGCTTTGGAAATTGTAATGGTAGGATTTGTATAGTAAGAGAATATATCTTTTTATCCCATGTTACTGCATCTCAGATTTTTTATTATGCTCAAAGGTGCGTTTTTTTAACGTTTTGTGTGTTAATTTAATTAAATATGTTCTTCGCGCTTAAACCATAAAATTCAATTCAACAGCAATATTGCAAAATAATTTTAAAATGAGCATATCTTTATAATTTCCAATACACAGTCTTGTGTTCTGCAGATTATATATATATATATTTTTTTCTGTACAGTGTTACCATTGCTCGCTTTGAAATCGTTTGTTTCTTAATAAAAGATTCGTTAAAATTTTACTCCTATACATCAGTATGAATTATTTCTGAAGGTTTATTAAATCACATTCCTTCAGAATTAAAATGCAGTTATTGTTATCCAACTTGCAGACGCATTTTTGAAACAGAATCATCCTTTAAACAAGCCTCAGAGACCTCTTGTTTTAATGTATAATTTTTCTTCTTGTTTTACTGTCTAAACAAGAAAAAATTTAATAGGGGGGCTGAAACATTTTATTATTAAAGGCAAACTGTTAAATAGAATGTGTAACTAATTCAAGGTTTGATGGACTGTTAAAGATTTGATATAAGACATTTTACTAGTTTATATTAGATCTATTTTACTAGTTTATATTAGATCTGAAGAAGAAAGACTTCTGAAAAACTATACAGCCCATCTAGCCCTCATGTGTATAGTTGTTTATGGTTTTGCTGCAAACAAGGTTTAATTATATTGCCACATTAAACCAAAATGCAATTACTGAAATACGATTTCCCTTCCCAAAGCCATAACCTGAAGAACTATTCTGGTTTACTGCAGTTAGAACATTGGCTTCCTTATACAAATCTTTTTTTTTTTTTTTTTTTTTTTTTGGTAAAGATGTGGGTACTTTTATGCCAGTCCAGCATTTTCCATAAAGGTGCATTCACCATAATGCCAGTCCAACATTTTTCATAAAGGTAGGAGTCACCTTTATGGCAGTCCACTTTTGTTCCTGAAGGTGTGGGCAGCTTTATGACAATTCAGCCTTTTTCATAAAAGTGCAGGCTTCTTTATGTAAAAGCCCTTTTTTTATATAAAGTGGCTGAAAATTTATTTGTCTTTCTAACTTATTAAAATAAGTTATTATTGTTCTAACTTATTAAAATAAGTTAGAAACTTATCTTAATAAGGATAAGCACATCCTTATGATAGGGCACCTTATGAAGGCTTCTGTCCTTTTAAACAGTGACCGACTTGCATAAGAGCGTGAGGATCTTTCTGAAAGCATTCTGATAAAACCAGTAACAGTAAAACTGGGAGAACAGGAAATGCCAAACCTTCAGAAAATCTTTTTAGTAGAGCTAAGCTATTTGACTCTTGGATAGAAGATTGACAGTATACCTTGTGCTTACAGTAATGAAAGGGAGAGGAAAGGCATGGTCAGTATATTGAACATAGCCATCTTTTAAAGCTACAAATAAGATGGCTGTAATATTGGCCATTTTTTTTTTTGCAGAATGTTTAACATACTTTTTCTCTGTTTTTTTTTTTTTTAATGTTGATTTAATTGAAGTTTGTGTGTTTTAATTAATGTTTCGCAACTTGATACTTTGCATTATGTAAAATGAAGCATCCAATTGCAGCCTTCTGTATTTTGGAGGATGCTATTAAATAAATACACATTCAATTATAAAAAGGCACATTCAGTTATAAAAATACTGATTAATGTAAAGCAAGGAATATGAGACTTATTTGAGGATAGCTTTAGAACGTTGTAGAGAGCAAAACAAGACTAGGTTTCAAGTATTCTTATGAATTTTAGGGGTTTAATGATATTTTATCTTCAATATTTTGTAAAATAAAACAAATTAATAATTTCTAATAGAAGTTATTGAGATTAAAGTTTGTACATATATTTATATTGAGTATTTTGATAGTGTAGGTGCCGATGTTATTTAATCTAGAGATCTTAAGGTTATTGTTTAATTAGATGAATAAAGTGTAAATTTTATTTAAATAATCATTAAACATTCAAAGCAAGGAAAATAGTAGTTTCTAATTATCTTTTCAGAGTAAATCAACAAATGATAACAAAAATGAAAAGAGTTCTGTTGATGAGGGCATCACTAGCAATTCTGCTAGCATCCGTGCAACAATCATAGCATTGGCTAAGCAAAAACCTGCTTTGTCTCCTAACATTGGTTTGACGTGGTTTACTGCATTGAAGCAAGAATTTTCAAAGAAGTATTTTAATGAGGTACAGTTATAAATTAATTTTTTCACCTCCTTTATTTGACATTACTGGGCTGATTTTAAATAAATGACCTAAATTCATATGGCTTAAATCCATACCTATTAAAACCATGTATTAATTTTATATATATCAATGATGCCTCAGAAATTACAGTTATGATCAAAATGATGATAATTTGTTCTTAGTAAAATGCTTCTACTATGCTTAATCAATCACATATAGACCTAATGACTTAGTGCTTTCTTGTAATGCATCATCATGCAAGACATTTGTTTGGGATACGGTTCACTAATATACATGATCTCAGAAAACCCATAGCGGTTCTCACATAAGAGATAACAAAGGTTATCCTGGAGCAAGTATGGCAAGAATATGAATATTGTCTTTTTGTTGTTTGTATCACTAAACGAAATTATGTAAAATATTGGTAGGTAAGAGTTAACAGTTTTCCTTTCATGTCATGCATTATTTGTTTCTCTGAGTTTTTAAATTTCATAAATAAAGTCATTTGAAATCATCTTGTACGTGGATAGGTAAATTCAAAATTTGTTATTTAGGATAAATTGGAAGATTTCATTAAAAAAATGAAAACAAATCAATTTTACATGTGTTATATATACCTACAGTAATTATTGTTGTAACATACTTTATGAATATTAGTATAGTAATCATGTTGTGACACATCATTGAAAATTCTCAATGTTAAAACACTTGTGTACTATACTTATAATATACCTAATCTAAAAACTCTGAAAAGAAGCAGTTTGCATCTGTGAAATAATATGTTCTATAAATACACTTTTAAAGAAAGAACATTAATCATGATACTTAAAAAAAAATTCCATTACTGGTCAAACATTTAAGGGATAGTTCTCTTTTCCTTTTATTTCTCTTATTTGCGTTTTCCCCCTCTTTTTTTTTTTGGAGGTTGTGGCTCAAAGCAAGATGCTATTACATACTTTTTTTCTAGTTTCTCATGGACAGAAAACAGCATTTATCTAGTGAGCTGTGAGGCAAATAGCAGACTTTAAAGCAGACTTCTGGGAGAAAATCTTGCGTATGACGCCATTTGTCGCTATCATCCCCTTCCATTTGCTACTTTTATAGGGAAATGTTCAGAATAGGTGCTTAAGTAGGATCTTTGTGCTGGGAGGTGGCATTAGGTTGCTCCTATATTAGAAGCTGCTTCTGCTTCTTCTGCATGATTTCTACAGTGTTCTATGTCTAAGGCCTCTGCCTTGAAGATGATGTTATGTTCTGCAAGGTGTCCCTTCTAGTGACATGTTTGTATAGAGTTGGTGAGATGAACTAGGGCATGTCTTACTCCTGCATCAGACTTTGAGCTATCTGCAAAGATGGCTGATGTCGGCTCTGAGTTGCTGTACTGTGTCAGTATGACTATGATGCCTTTTCCTCTGTCAACTGGATGGGTGTGGGATGCAGTACATTGTTGGGCAAATTCTGCTGGTGCGAATGTGCAACCATAGTTAGGTAATTGTCTGTTGCAGATGGAATAACTTTGCTAGTACTCCCATCTGCAACCATAGTTAGGTAATTGTCTGTTGCAGATGGAATAACTTTGCTAGTACTCCCTCTTGCTTACATCCACACAGATGTGGAGGGAAACCAGCTAAAACGTTTAGTGTATCTGTATAAGTTTTTACAGATGGCAGTGGCATAAGTAACCATTTTTTCAGTTATTGTTTTATACAGTAATTTTTGGAAGTGGGGGTTTTCTTCCTCAAGTGGCACCTTGCAGTTGATGAATTTTGCTTGCAATGGCTTGAGTTTTTTTTCTTTTAAGGTATGCTATGTGAGGTAGCTTAGTAGATTGTGAGATAGGCTTTATCCCCACAAGACCTAGGAATTTGACTCCATTGCAAAATTTTATGTTTTTCCCATTGATAGGAATACATGGCTTCCTGACTGGGTTCTTTCCCTTTTTAGGAATGAGCAGCGCTGTGCATTTGGTCTCAGAGATCGTTATTTAATACTGTGACACATATTTGCAGAGATGTTGCATACTTCCGAACCATGTTGCTCACTTTCATTTTGAGTATTTTGGTTAATGACAAAGGTGGCATCATCTGCATATACTACTAGTTTTGCATATGATGGCCAATAGTGACGGATCTTTTGGTTAAATCTGAGGTTAACTCTTAGTGAATTGCTTACAGTTGCTTATCTTTAGTAGATGCCAAGTGTGGCTAATGTAGTGTTTACTTTAGTCATAAGTTGTTCATTAATCAATGCAGTTGGATTAAATTTACTCCTTCTTTAAATTTAAAGATTGAAAACTTTAAATAATCATGAAATGAATAAATAAATAAACAAATAGATAGATAGATAAATAAATAAAAACCTTAAATCACTATTTAAAACATTAAACATTCAGAACCTTACATAGTTAAATAATACCACTCAACATATATTAAGAACTTAATTCAAATCATTTACTAGTCAAATACTATCAAAGCACTTAACCATGTTATAGATAACTATGGTATGCTTGAAGAGAACTAAAGAATGCGTAGACAATGAATTAAAAGAAAGTTCACAAATGCGCAAAAGAGTACTAATAATGAGAATTCTAAATTGCTCTGCATGTGGCTCTTTATGAGACAGATAAAATTAAAGGAAGAACAGAATGCAATAAAAAGATTTAAAATCCTAGCTTATGAAGCTGTTCTTCAACTGTATTCTGTCTGTATATAATGATCCGTAACAAGAACACATTCTCAAAACTGTGCACAAAATATTGTACTAAAAGAAAACTATTATGCAATGCTTTTTTTGTTCTGTGAAAAAATAATCCCACTGAGGTCACAAAAATTAACACTGTGAACTGAAACGAAATAAGACACTGAACAATACAGCACTAAATCACAAAATTTGATGATGTAATCTAAGTATGAAGAAAATTATATCGCTGTTATCATGTTGATAAGCTGGGTTTAAAACACCAGTCCCGTAATGCAGAGGTAATTATTTGTCGAGCAATTAATTAATAAGGTTCCACTTCCCTTTGTTCTGTCAGAAACCACAAGCACAATGCCTGGAGAGCCAACTCTGCGGGTAGAGGGGGTTCTGCCCCAAGTTCTTTTGTTACCTATGGAGTATACACGTGAAGGAAAAAAATAATATGTATAAAATTTACATCTTCTTCCCTAATTATCCGATTTGATTAAAGTCTAGAAATTCTGAAAAGTCTTATCATGAGGAATTCGGATCACTCTTCAAAATTATACTATTCCTAGGAGATCCAAAAATATCCAGCCTTAAAGGAACTGCCAGTCCCTCTTGTTCTGTTTGCAGTTTCTAAGTCCAATTGCAAGGTCAGTTGGAATGTCTGCCAATTTCATAGTTAAATGAATAAACCACATGCAACTTTGATTAAAATCCAGTTAATTTGGTTTGCAATGGCTTGATGATGATAAAAGTGGTGTGAAATTAATCCTCAGTTGATTGCCCACCCGATGGTATAAAGATTGAGTCACCCTGTCCACTAATTGTGCAATTATGGAGATAATCATTTGGCACTAGTAATATTAAAATTAAAATGCAAACTGATAGATATAAAAACATTCTGAGAGTTGAAAACATTCTGCAAGTACTGTATTTAAGAGCACATTTACTGTCAGAACCAAAAATAGAAGATTCTGATTTAAAAGTAATTTTTACCAAAATATAGTAGAATATAATAGAAGAAGCTAAATTACTAATGTTAATGATGCACTATGGCATCAGAGGCTAGGTCACCTAAACTATCAAAGACTGATAGAAATGAAGAAAAACTCATCAGTCATTGGATTAGAAAATATAAAAATTTCCAAAAATGATTGTGAATCTTGTACATTAGGAAAAATGACACGAAGTTCTTATAAAAGTGTGGAATTCAAGCAATCCAGATATATTTTAGAATGATAACATATAAATTTAGTTGGACTAATCAAGATGTCGTTCGATGGAAGCTGTTATTTTTAGCAGTGGTAGATGATTATACTAACATCATGTTTGTAGTATAGGCTCCTGACTCCAAATTTATCTTTATAACTATAACTGTTTCTTTAAATCATTTTAATTCAAAAGTAATGTTTATTAAATCTCTTGGCAAGCATAAACAATTCTTTAGAACATCTAGCTACTGATTCTGATGCTGTTCCTCACAAAGTGATTGTGTATAAGAAAACTAACCAACATTCAAGCGAAAAGTTTTCCGAAGCTATGCACGACAGCAAAACTCTTACAGACAAATCCCGTTACGGTAGACAGGTAAAATTGCCAGTCTGGTTTTGAGATTGAAATTAAGCCTACAACTGTCCCTCCTTTCCTCACCACATATACTTAGTGTAGTAGCTTATTTACTGGTCAGGGAGTACTGTTGGCAACTACTCTAGTAAAAGAAAAAGAAGAAAATAGTTATTGATTTGAGCGTTTTGGCAACAAGAGAGAAACCAGACGGTAACCATAGAACTAGCATTTTTTATTTAGAACTTTAATTCGATTTTTGGGAACTTTTAAATTGGCTGCAATCGAATATTGTTGTTTAAATGATTAATCCTTTAAAACTAAAAATTTAAACAATATTAGGTAAATATAAAACTAAGAGAAGCTAAGTCATTCTATTATTATTTCTACGTGATGAATGATTTGTCATAGAAGACATTAGTGTTTTTCTAGTAGCTGTCCGGAATGTAATCCAGCTTCAAGAAAATTATCAAAAGGGTAAGTCTTGAAATTTATTGAGCCCTTATATTAGTAGATTTAACACAAATTGGGGTATTTACTATTTTATTTAAAAGACATGCAATAATTTGCATTCTTCTGATATAATTGCCGCGGTAGATTGTACAATTACTTTGTAATTACAATGTAATTGTAATTACATACTCCAATTATAGTTACAATGTAATGTAATGGCTAACTGCCATTACATTTTTCCCGTCTCCGATTGAAGAATGTGTTGAGAAATATTCGTATTCCATAATCCAAAAACTTTGGGAAAAACATGGTATTAAAATTTCAAAATGCAAAATATGCAGCATTGTTAACTGGGAAGGAAAAAAACTGTCAGTCATTACTTCTACATAGAAAGAAGACCCCAAAGAAATATCCCAAAAAGGTATGTACTGTTTTTAAAGTTAAATTGCTTTCTAAAGTAAAATTTGCCGAAGCAGCAATCAGTTGCAAAATCTATAAATTCATCTGTAGCAGCAATAAACAAAATAATATACCAAACTTTATAACTTAAAGAAACTAAAAAATATGCTTACCACCTTTTACTGAAATTTGTGACTCAATGCAGAACAATTTGTAGAACCCTGTATGAAAAGTATTTAGCAGGAGATAAATGGAAATGCAATGAGACCCTTGATGAAATGTGGGTTAACCTAAATAACTGCAACAATGAAAGGTGTGTTTATTATTAAAAACAGAAAGAAGCAAATAATTCTGCCAATGTAAAGGAAGTTTCAGTAAGGGGTTTATGATTGTCACACTATTTCCTTATAGTGGAAAACAAGAATGGGGGGGGGGAGCTAAAATCAAGGCAATGTTCTATTGAACAAGTTTTATGAGAAATTCCGTTTCTTTATCCCATTGTCTTTAAAAGAGTGGAACTTTGTCAAGACAAAGCAATAAGTCACACTTCAAAAAGTACCGCTGCATTCTTTGAAAAAATGAAGTCTGATACAGGTATTGCATATATACCTGTTCAACATATTCCTGTGAAGTCCCCTGTGCCTATAATCTCTTGAAAAGAGCTCTTCCTTAGCAGAAACCCACCACGACTGGCCGACTGTAGAAAGTGGTTGAAGAGGAAGTGAAATCAATACCCTGTGAAATTTTGTGAAAACACCTTCTAGCATGGAAATCATAATGCAGTCTTATACTTCAGAAAAAATTCTATTAGATAGAACATTAAAAAAAATATTGTGTGCATTTTAAACATTAAATGGTTCGCTAATCATTCTAAAATTGTGTAAACACCTTCTGTGTGACAGAAGTGCAGTAATAAAGTAGAAAGAATCTTTGAGATCATAGCACATTTAAGTGAAACCCAAAACTTAACTTTAAACACTAAGTTGCTTAGTCATCTATTTTAAACTATATTTGAATTGCATTTGCCTGCATACTGGCAGCATGGAGGTAAAGCTTGTTGTATGGCTAGAGCTTTAGAGTTGTGTTCGGGCCTGTTATGTAATCATTCCTCCCTTTTCCTTTACCAAAGACGAAAAATTTAATACTTTTGCTTTTGGTCAAAATACAAACTAACTGCAGGTGTTAAATGCTAATAAAGTGAGCATTAAGAGAAATAAATGCACAATAAGTCAAAGAAAAATAATAAAGGGAATTAGGGTCACTGAAAAAATTTATGAAGAAAAAGTTTTTAGGTATTTTGATAATTTTTATGATTGTTTTTTATATTTTTGATTTCAGAATTTTTATATTTTTTAAAGCAAATGCAATATTGAAAAGAAGGATGCGGAGCAGAAACTTATTAAAAGATTCCTTGATCAAAAGGTCATAAAATCAGAATGTAGCAATGCATTGCTACCCAAGGAAAAAATCTATGAATGTGCATAAATTAATGTGATTTTGAGGTGAACAGACTAATAATAACCCCTTTCTCCTAAAATGTTCTGGCCAATCACAACACTTTCAGCCTGTGAATGGTTGCAGGGATGTTGGCATTTTTCTGTCAAACCTAAACAAGTGAAGCTCTCAGACATGTTTGTTTGGAGAAGGATGTTACTCATACTGGTTTTGTTGGCATAGCTGTGGCGAATTCCAAGGAACTTCCAAGGTTAACCTAGCAAATTATGCTCTTTCTTAACCCAATTTCATCTGGCTTATTATTTTTTTTTTTTGTTGGCTATTATAGTTACAGCTATCTTATCAAAATTAAAGTTTGACTTTTCATTTATATTGAAAATAGTTTCTAATTCTGGAGCTGCAAAGCAAAAGCATGTTTTGATGTCAATCAAGCAAAAAGTGGAATTGATGTAAGAAATGGATGATGGCTTATCCATCTTGTACTTATGCGAGGACTATGTCTTGGGAAGTCAGCATTGGGCAACATTAAAACAGAGGAAAGAAAACAGAAAATAATATTTTTTGAATTTTTTATGGATTCTGACCCTCCACTCATAATAAATAATAAAAATCATTCATTGTGCTTGAGGTGATGATCATGACAAATTGATGATTGAAAGTGGAGATAGCTTTACTGTGAGGACATGCCATTGATGGGTTTAATGCTAATCCCTCAAGGCAAAATATTTCATGAGAAAATGGACTTAGAAACTGAGTGTTTGTATTTGACAGATAGGCTATACAAACTTCAAAATCGTCATGGTATAAGAGAGTTAAAAATTTCAGATTAAAAAGCTTCAGCTAAAACTAAAGCAAAAACGTATTACTAAAGCAAATTTATAATATTGACAAAACTACTCTTTTTTTGGCAATATATGTCCCAAAATACCTTGATGGCCTCTGCAAAGAAGGCCCTAACAGGTGTCAAAGATTCAGAAGTCAGACTGGTGATTTTACCATGAGCAAATGCTGCAGGAATACACAATTGTGAACTTCTTGTAATTGGAAGAGATACGCAAGCTCGGACATTGAAAGATGTACTTTTTGTACAGATTTCCGATCTTCTGTTGATCATATTCGTACAGATTTCCCATCTTCTGTTGATCAAATAAAAATAAATGGGTGGCACAGACATTAAAAATTAAATAATTTGAAAATGATTTTATTTCTGAAGCTTGGCAACATTTGAAATTGTATGTTACTGGATGATGTAAATTTGTCCTCATTATAAGACAACTGTTCAGCTTATACTTCACTTAATTTTATTAAAAGATAATGTCTCTTTTATTCTTTCTTTCAAATTGTACATCTGTCATTCAGCCAATGGATATCAAATTGATGTCCATGCAGAAATTCAAATATTAAGTATCCTTTTTAAAATCTGTGCCAAATTTTCTGACTAGTGGCAAGATCATTCAAGAAATTTTGAGAGATTTAAACGTAAAATCTAATGTGTAGAATGTAGTTAAATCATGGAAGAATGCATCTGCATATATTTTAGAAAATGCTGAGCATAGTTTATGGCCAGCTGCCATATTTCATTGATGTTGAATGCTGAAAATTTAAAGATTTTTTGATATCGCAAATAAAAGGAGAAATTTTCTGGTTAGCAGAATTTGTAAAGAAACATTGATAATAAATGAAAATGTTAGAACAGAAGTGTTTCATTGTGCCCCAATCAACCTGTCAACTAATGAACAATAAAATCTGCAGTATGGTTTTAAATCCCAGAAGATATTGCTGTGAAGGAAATTACAAAAAGGTTGTTGATCATGAAATGATTACACTTGACAGCTTAGTATGAATTCTTGACATTGCAGTTACAGGACTCGAACAATGGAATGTTGTAATTGAACAAAAAATTCTCTCTAAAATTAAGGAGAAAATGCTTTAAAAAAGAAAAAAGCTTAAACAACTTACATTGAAAGAAATTTTAAATAAAAACAAATAAATATTGAGCTTTTTTGTATAAATTCTATTTTGATTCATTTAAGATTATACATGCTTTATTCTTTCATCAACACCTGTTTCATATTTTTAATTGTATAGTTTTTGCTTGTCATTTTACTAAATTTAAACTCATTACCTGAAATCAGGAAATTTCTAGTAACATCGAAGTCCTGACTATTGCGGACTATCTTGGAGTTTCATATGACAATCAGTATGTGTGTATTGAAAAGTGTAATAAATATTATGGAACTATTCAGAGTCTTTGGTTACAATTATTTCATATTTTTAATGTACTGAGATGATTCAGTTTTTAGTTTTTATTTGTATTATACTAACAGTATGCTTTAACTTTGATTCATAAATATTTAAAGCTACTAGAAGTGTAGAGAAAACTTTTAAAAACTAGCCAAATTCATCATAGAGAATTGTAGTGTTGTAAACTTACTAGCTTACAAATTACTTGCATGTAGCATAAAAAAAAATTACTAAATGATCTGTTAAGATTTTTGAAAGGAAGGTGTTTTTACAGCTTATTTACTTAGGTCATGCTGCATGTGTAAAATAATGGATTATAATATGCAACATTTGTAGGCTTTAGAAATACAGTACAAAGTCTGTAATCCGGACTTCGTCGGTTCCGGATTAGAGATCATCAATTTAAATCTGGTAAGATGGCATGCAGAAATTATGCAATTAAAAATATGAAATTGTAATTTTTGAAATAAAGAACAATTATGATCTAAAGGGTATCAAAATTTACAAAAAAAAAAAAAAAAAAAGGCTTACTATTTATTTGGTTACTTTATTAAACATTTCTTTCAATGTAAGTTGTTTAAGATGCTTCCACAAAAAATTCAAAATGTTCCTTTTTCCTTTTTCTTGTGTCATATGTAGTGGACTTTCCAATGCCATACTTCTCGCATAATTTTGAGACGGATAGGCCTTTATCCATTTTGTGCAGCAATTCCACTTTTTGTTTAATGGACATCGAAACATGCTTTCGCTTTGTAGATTCTTTGCCAGCTCCAGAATTGGAAACTCTTTTTGACATAATCTAAAGTTCAAGCTTAATTTTTATAAAATTTTTCTAACAGTCTGCAAAAAATAATAAGCCGGATCCAATTAGAAGATTAAGGAACAACACAATCTGCAACATTAACTGAAATAGATAATTAAATAATTTTAGTTTAGCTTATACAGTCTGTTATGCATTAAACACACATGCGTAAATGCATTATGCGCATGCACGTCAAGTTTGTAGCTTTGAGGCCCAGATTATAGATCATTCCAGATTGTGGACGTCCAGATTACAGACTTTGTACTGTACCACATTTTGATACCATAATGGCATGGCATTCATAATTTGATAATTTATTCAAATTTATGTTTAAATATCATTTCTCTTTCTACAGCTTGGGAAATTTCTGACAACAGAAAGAGAAAAATATACTATTTATCCTCCCGTGAAAGATATTTATTTTTGGACAAACACTGTAAAAATTCAAGATGTAAGTAGTTTTATACAGTAAAAATATGTCACTGTAGTATATTTAATATGAATCTACACTCTATAACAAAAAATCGACACACCAAGAAGGAGTTGTCCGATTGAAACAAAAATCGGTGGATAGGAAGATTATGTACAGAATAGAAATTGATTAAAATTTCAGGACAATTGGGAATGATTTATTTCAGATTTACACAGTTACAAAGTAACGAGCTCTATAAGGTGTTGACCCGCTTTTAGCCTGGATGCAACCTGCCACACGATGTAGCATAGACTGAAAAATCTCCTGAATGGTCTCCTGCAGTATTTCTTGCCAAATTTGTTCCAATTGTTGGGCTAGGTCATCAACATTCCATGGTAGATGCAATCGCCTTTTTATTACATCCCAGACATACTCAATAGGAGAGATCTGGCTGGCCAAGGAAGTGTTTGACAAGCTGTAAGACAGTTCCTAGCAACACATGCCATATGTGGTCTGGCACCATCTTGCTGAAAAATAAGGCCAGGGTACTGCAAAAGGAACGGTTGCAAAACAGGTCTCAGAATGTCGTTGACGTACTGCTGTGCTGTAAGTGTGCCTCTAATGACAACCAAAGGGGTCCGGCTATCAAGGGAAATGGCACCCCAGATGATAACTCCTGGTTGAAGGCCTGTGTGGCGTGCAATAGGGAAACCAGAATCGGCATGCTGCTCTGGGCATCTCCAGACACGTCTTCGATGATTGTCATGACACAGTTGGAAGCGGGATTCATCGCCAAAGACTATACGTCCCCAGTTAGCATCATTCCAACCTGATGAAGCCAAGCACCAAGTAGAGAAGGGGGATTTTTCGCCGTATTAGCTATTTGTCATTGATCGCTACTCAACTTTTTTTCCTCCGCTGTGTAAAATTTTCGTTTCATTTATTGATGCACGTGTAAATTTTTCGTTTCGTTTATTGAAATATTTTTTTATTTATGTACGCAAGAGAATTTCACTATGAAATTTCTCGATATAAATAGTGATATTATACAATTAGAAGAAGGTGTCCGGAATGCATTTAGGTGGAATTAGATTGAACGGAGAGATGGTAATGGGATACCATCGGCACATTTTGCAAGAAAATAAATGTTGCTGGACAAGCATATTGTGTTTTTTGTAACTCACTGCTGAAGTATGGTGGGGAAGGATTCAAGGCTTTAGCTCCCAATTTAATTGAACTCTGCAAACAGTTGAGCCGCGATCAGACGACACTAAACTCGTTGGAAATGTCCAGGACTACTGCATGTTATAAGATGAAATATGGGCTCGCAAAAACTATTAAGGAAAATATCATTAAAACTTTAAAGGAGACTCCATTTTCTCTAAATTTGGATGAAAGTACTAGCAATGTTCAAGAAAGTATACTGGCAATATTGGTGCAGTTTTATGACAACAATCAAAATGAAGTTGTAGTTCATCATTTTGCATCTCTAAAGATGGAATCTTGCAATTCAGAAGCTGTTTTTAAAGCAGTTGTTAATACTATTGAAGATAATAATATTCCATGGGCAAACCTAATTAGTGAATTAATGGACTCATGTAACACCATGCGTGGAAAAAAAAAGGGTGTTGAAACCAGACTACGACCAAACAAAGCACCCCACTTATTAGATATTGATGGTGACACATGTCACACAGCTAATAACTGTGCAAAAAAATTTGCTTCATGTTTTGATAGATACTTAGAAGATTTGTTTTATGACATCTATTTTGATATGAAGCTGCAGTAAAAGAGAAAATTTTTTCAAAATCTGTGAATTCCTTGCCATTAAAAAACTTAAGCCCTTGAAGAGACCAGACCATAGGTGGGCGTACATTTTATGTGTTTTAGAAAGAATCTAAGATCTGTGGGATGCTCTTATTGCATTTTATTTTCACTACTTGGATAAAACTGATAAAAGGGGATTATTTTTCTTATGTTGAAACTGTATACAATAAAAGAATATATTCTGCAGCTCAGAAAAAAATTGTTGAAGGGATGTATTCTTGCTTGCATTCCGACAACTCGCAAAGGATGCTTTAGCTCGGAAAAAGCTGGGTTATTTGTTATGCAAAACAAAACTTTATTGCATATGGCATTATATTCAGCAGTATTACCAGAGTTCAACACATATATTAAATTATTGAAACAAAAAAACCAATGCTTCATTTAATACATTCCAGTATTTAAAATTGATGGCAAAATTTTTCTCTTTTTTTATGAAGCCAGAAAATATAGAGTATATAGAGTGCACATCTTATAATGATTTATTAAAGGTTGATGTCACAAATCCAGAATTCCATCTACCTAGCAAAGTAATATTTACTGGTGCAGAAGCTTCCACTCTCCTGAAGAAATTATCAAAAAATCATCCAATAGCAAAAGAATTTCAAATTTCTCTGATGAAAGCTTATACTAATACAGCACAGCATATGAAACAGAAATTACCCCTTAAAAATTCATATCTAATTAGTTTTACAGCATTAGATCCAGAGCTAAGAGGTAAAACCAGTACAATATTAGCTTTTGAAAAATTATCATCTTTTATGTCCCATATTTTTAGTGATAATGAAAAGTCAAAAGTAGAAGCTGAAATAAGGTTATACCGAGTGATATTGATATCACCAAAGAAATGCTCTACACATCTGATGTGAAAGTGGAAATCAAGTCAAGTGTACAATTGATAAATATTGGTCTAAAGTTTTTAATTTAAAAGATGATTTCACAAATGATTCTAAGTATCCTACATTGGCTAAATTGGTCAAAGCCTGCCTTAGCTGCTTCCATGGCCCATTAGTGGAAAGTGCATTCAACTTAATGGATACACTTGTCACTGACTATAGAACCTCTCTTAAGATTGATTCCCTAGATGCAGTGCAGACTATTAAATATGATATAATTGCTTCTAAAGAAACCTCATGTGAAAAATATGGCTAAAAAAATCCAATGACTGATCCAATTCACAAGATCTCTTACTGAATATGAACAGAAGTTGGAAAACATATCAAGAGAGGACTTAAAAACATGTATTTTCAGATGAGTCACCTATAAAAGTCTCTGAAAAACCTTCTACATTAGCAGAAAAGCAAATTGCTTCTACCTCTGCATGTGCAGTTCTCGAGGAAATTTCTTCAACTGTAAATGAGGAAAATAAAAGTCAACCTTCCTGCAATTATGAAGTTCACCACAAAAGAAAGACAAGCCCACAAACATCAGAAAATAAAAAAAAAAAAGCAGCAGAAATTAGATAATTTTTTTAAAGTATTAATTCAGGTAATTTAAAATATTTACATAAAATGTAGTAGTTTATATGTTTAAAAATTTATGGTTATTAATTTTGCAAAAAAAGTAATTCATTGAACTTTTATAATTAGGTCATTCAATACTTCATAATTGTAATTTTTCATTTCTCTTCCCCCTTCTTGAAACTCCAAAATGTCGGTAGTAAGTCCGTAAAAGTTTCAGGGGATTTTTTGGGGTCCCACAAACACCCCCGTTCATCTCATATGACGAGCGAATCTCCAATTTGCCCAACCTGCCTCCTTCAGTCCAACGATATGACCTCTTCTGTGACCCATGACAGTTGCTCGTAATCAGCTCGAATCCTGCAGCAAGGCATTTTTTCAGTCATTGAAAGGTATCCTATATCGCAATGCAATAGAAATTTTTAACAACAGTTCAAGAATAGTTCTTTATATACATATGCTGTATGCGCAGTTCCAATGCGCTGGAGATTGCACCATTCATTCATTGGACACCAAATTTTAATCATTTGCATACTTGGTCAAATCATGCATGCATACAAAATTTCAAAGCAATTGGATGATTCCTTCTTGGTGCGTCAATTTTTTTTTGTTATAGAGTGTATGTAAAATTCTATCTTCAAATTATAATGTAAATTTTTACATTTATTGCTTATTAACGTTTTCCCTATTTTTAAGTATTATAAAGGGTGGTTAAGAAAGCTGAATTGGTTAATAGAAGCAGCATTATATCATTCAGCACAAATGAGGTGAAATGGTTTATAAATTTAGCCACACTTTTGAGGGCCTTTCTGTCTTGATTATCTAAATGAAATTAGCTTACGGTTGTATTTCAGTGAGAGTTATATTCATTATGCCATGACTAATTTAGGATAAAACTGCTGCTAATATCTTTTCAGGAAATGTCAACTTAAAATTGAAAGATTTAATCTTTTTCCTGTTAAGTAATGTTTATCTGAAAAGAAATGCAAGTAAACTGCCATCTAAAATTGTTTGTTATAAATGAATGTTCTCTTTTTTTATAAAAAATTTGTATTTAACTTAACTAGATTATTCTTGAATTTACATTATATAGAATAAAAGAAAGTATATGCAATATGGTCTTAATTATACATCTCTCATTAGTGTATAAGCTTTGTTTGTGTATCTCTCTCAATTATGTATTGATTTTAATTACCTGGCCAAAGGTTTGATGAAATAATGTAATTTCTCATTATCTGTGTTGTTTTAAGCACTCATAAGCTCAAGTCATGGCAATGACTGTTTCTTTAAAGGAGCCACTATGGATTTTGAAGCTACCAAGGTAACCAAAAACATTCTTGCCGTTTCCGATATGACATCAGAAATGTGAATTCCAATATAAAAATAGTCGCCAAACCTGGGGATAAAGTGGTTAGGATGGGAGTCCCGACATTGACCAAAAGTATAAGTGCGTTGCATCGGTACTTCAAACATAACTCACACAGCAATTGATTGAAATGGACGCGTCAAAGGAGCTTGCCCACAGTTGTTTGCTGTATGATTTTAAAGTGGGCCTGTCTACAGCAAAAACAAGTCGTCAAATTTGCCAGGCCTTTGGGGATGATGTCATTAGCAAAAGAACCGCTAGGCAATGATTCCAGAAGTTTAGGTCAGGGGATATGTCTCTTATTAATGCATCACGAAGCGTTCAGCCACAAGCGTTGGACGATGAGGCTCCGAGAGCAGCCATAGTGACTGTAGCCAAACATGTGGCGA